CCAATTGATGTCCTACTTGATGAATTACAAGCCAAATAAAGTCTTAATTATCGAATTACAAGCCAAATGAAGTTCTACTTAATGAATTACAAAGATACTAAGGATTTTAAAACACAAATTTGTATTCTAGTTCTCAAATAATATTAAAGGATGCATCATGCAATAATAGGAATTTCATCAACGGTTCAAATTAATCTCCTCCTCCTCACCAGAAGAAATCTGCAAAAAAATTATAACAAGCTATTAAAACAAAATTTACTAAAGTAACAATACTAGAATAACATGCTGATAATTTCCAAACATGCATAGATCTAAATTAAATCAATAATAAAAGTATAAATCATGCCAAAAACAAAAATACTACTGAAGTAATTATACAAGAATAACATACAAAAACATGCTTACACATGCTTAAGATATTAAGATCTAAATTAAATCAGTTTATAAAACATCTAAAGCAACAACAAGACAACATAAATCTAAATTATATCAGCAACAACACAACAACAACAGATAATTTAAGCATATCAACAAGAACAACAACATATATATGAAAGCAAAATCGTAGATAATGAAAATCGAAATCAGTAAATTACCTTTTAGCTTGAACGCTTGAACGGTGAAGGAGAAGTGCGACTCACATAGGACAATGGCTCAACGTCTCAACTCTCAAGTTGTTTGAGTTCTCTAGATCTGAAGAGAAAGAAAATTGAGAGAGAAAAAAAAAATGAAACATGAGAGGGAAAGTAAGAGTGACGGCTGAGAGTTAAGAACATATAGGATTTTAGGGTTTAGATTTTGATTTTATAAAACCTTTATTTGGGCTTGGGCCATCAAAGCTGTTTAACTTATACGGGTTTTTTTTTTTTTTTTTTCGGGTTGAAAATTTCAACCTTAACCTAACCCATTTAATTATCAGGTCGGGTTTGTGTCGACCCGTTTAAGTTTTCGGGTCAAAAATCTCAACCCAAACCCGCTATTTTCAGGTCGGATTTTCGGGTCGTGTCAGCTTTTGCCAGCCCTACGTGAGAGGAGCACTAGCAATATACTCCCCCAAGTCAGCAGGACATTTCCCTACGAGAAAGAGATTAACCACCTGCGTAATAGAGCCCACCAACTCATCTGAAATAGCAATTGCAACACCACTCAAGCAATCCAGAAGGTGCTGAGCACACAAGCCGTCTCTACCGCATGACATACCACGCGAAAACGCTTAAACTGATCCAAAGCAACAACAGGTATAATAATAAGGGGTTGATCAATGGGGATATCCGGTAAGATAGGAGCCAAAAAGGAAGGGTGCTTAGCTTGTAAATCAGCAAGAGTAGCATTATTGTAAGGGGCAAGACCATAAGACGAAGGAACCCTAACCGCAGTAGTGTAATGTCCGTCACAATTCTTTCTCTTACATTGCTTAATATTACGCTCAGACAAATCATGCTCATCATCAGCATCCAACAAAGGAGGAGACACATCAGCCAACGTATCCTGCACAAGATGCACAGAACCACCAGGCTCACACCAAGAACGAATAGCAGTGGTGATACTCTCTTCTTGCCGCTGCCGCCTGACACCCGAAGAACACTTAGGACTACTCCTCGGAGAAAAGGTTTTAAGAACACAGAGAGGCAACACAAGCAGTTGAACCCAACAAGAGACGTCATCAGGCTTGCAAATCACCTTATCAAGCGCTCCTTTGAGAACCCGAGAAAAACCCTAGCGACACTTAGGAGGAATAGATTTCACCGAACGGAACCGCTTAGATAGCAAACTATCCAGGAGATCAACATCGAACGCCAAAAGAGGCTGACGAGGCACACTAGGAACAAATCAGGTACCTCCGAAGAAAGACCCTGTGGTTTAGGAAAACCATAAAGAACAAACCGAACAACACCATCCCCCGAATCAGGTGGGTCCACAATATCATCCGAACCACGACCATGTCGATACTTCGTACGAAAAGTATGAGTCTTGAAACACTCCCCACAAAGCCAAATGCCCATACAACGAAAAGTTGACTCCGCCTTTAAGAAAATAGCCAAATCAGAAGTAAGAGAGCTTCGGGTCATATCCCGCGCATCCGCACAACAATGGCGGTCACGGAGATGAGTGATCAAAGAAGTTTTAGTGAGCATACCCCTTCCATCTTGACACCCATTAAGACCCACGAACGGGCAATGAAAGAGAACACTAGGAGGCATAACATCCACCGCAACTTGCCACAAGAGAACCGCAATACAACACAATGCAAACTTCACCAAAAAGTACCAAAACTACACACCTAATACACACCAACACTGCACCCAAAACAACACCAAACCCACACCAAAACTGCACCCAAAACAGCATCAAATTCTCTCTAAAACTGCACCAAAATCACCCCAAATTAAAACTGTCCCCGAATTGTCGGAACAAACCAGAAACGCAAACCTCAACAAAACCACAAAACTACAAACACCCAACAACACATGCAAAAACTGGAAAAAGACTAATTACTTGCTGTAAGAAAAAAGAACCTGATCAGAATGCCGGGTAACCTGATCAAAATGCCGATATCACCAGCGAAAACCCGCCGGAAAAAGACCTGGATACTACAACACTGAACGACGATCACCGCAACCTAAATTAGAAACCATGCGCATGGCGAAAAGAGAAGGAAACACTGCTGCGAAGCCGCCGGAAATTCGCAGCCTAAACTGAGCCACCGCTAACCCAACACCGCAACAAGACCTGGTAGGATATTAACTCACTGGAAAATGCCGAGAAACCTAGAAAACCGCCGAGGAAACTGCCTGATTCACGCCCAAAAACAGCCCCAAATTAAAATCGCCTGGAAAACGCCTATAGATGACTTGACAACTTGCCAGAGATGTTGCCGGAAAAAGGACGTGGAAGTCGAGCACAAATGCCTACCCTAATCGCCCTTAAACGAGAGGAAATTTTTTTATTATTATTATTATTATTATTATTATTGTTATTATTATTATTGTTATTGTTATTATTATTATTATTATTATTATTATTATTGTTATTACTACTACTACTATTATTATTATTTTATTATTATTATTATTTTCTTTAATAATAATAATTATTACTATTATCATTATTATTGTTAGTAATTTTATTAGTATAATTATTATTATTAAATATTAATTATTATTATTATTATAATTATTAAATATGAATTATTTATTGTTATTATTAAATATTAATTATTATTATTATTATAATAATTCAATATTAATTATTATTTTTAAGTAGAGCACAACAAGACTCAACAGAGCAGTTCTAAAGAACAGGGCCTTATTTTAAATTCGAGTCGAGCTTGATTTCAAGTGTTACATTAAAAAATTTGTTAATTAAGCCACGTGAATTATTTTTTTTGGTTTGAAAACTATATTGAGCGGTTGAGCCTAACATAAAAGCACTAACCTCTCCTTTTTTTTTTTGAACAATACATAAAGATTAACCTAAACCACCCTATTTTATCAATTGGATTGTTGTACCATTAACTTTTTCTTTAACTTAGAATGACCATTTGTAAGTGGGAGAGGAAGAAAATAAAAAATGAAATGACTATTGGGGACATTTTAACTAAATACTTGATAAAGTTTTTTTTTTGGAAAACATAAATTTAAAGAAAATAGAACATGATTGTGTCCTCCACAGTTTAACTATGCATTCCTTTATTTTAAAATGTACTCCGCATATTCTTTGCAGCCTAAAGCACATTATGCAAATTCATGTAAGATCTAACTTTTTTATATTTGCCAATTTTATTTATTTATTTATTTATTGTTTTTTTTTTTTTTTGAAGAACAATAACTTACCAAATAATGTAGTTGTATTTAGAAGGTGATTCAATTCAAAAAAAAAAAAAAAAGTTTATAAGGTGATTTCTTACAAAACAAAATATTACTCCGTATAAGGCAATTTCTCACAAATTATAGCGAAAAAATCACCACTTATTACTGTTTTCATTTAAAATTAGCATAAAATCCCAATAAAACAAATATATAATATCTTGTACAAAAAGAAAAGTTACCTAAAGCGACTTACCAGTACATAAAAAAAAATCTTGTATGACATAATTGAGATTTCCATAGATAATGTTAGAAGAAGATAAAATTCAATAAATACACTACATTTTAATAAAATTCCCGGCGTACTGGCCACGTCATTTTTTGTAAACTTGATTTTTTTTAAAAAAAATAAAAAGCTTGAAACCGCTAATTGAATTAACGGTTCATTAAACTCAACCGCTAATTCAATTAGCGTTTTTTTTTTCCACTCATTTGCTTGAGCAAGCCAATCAATATTACAGTACATAAAACCGCTAATTCAATTAGCGGTTTTACATTATATGAAATCGTTAATTTAGGGTTTGTTTGGCATTGTTGTGGTTTTCTGTTTTTTGGTTTTTTGATTTTCAAAATCATATGATATATGTCATATAATGAATAAAAATTAGTCAAACTTATTAAAATCCTAATAATTTAGAAAACTGACAACAAAAAAGTGGAAACACCTTTTTCTTGTTTCCTGTTTTTGGTTTTGGTTTAAAAAAAAAACAGATAACTAAAAACAAAACACAATGCCAAGCAAGCCCTTTAGCGGTTTTGTTTTAAATTTGGCAAATATTTTTTTTAATAATTACTCTTGCTGACGTAGACGGTACATAGGAAATTTTATTAAAATGTAGCGTATTTATGGAATTTTGTTCTCTTCTCACATTATCCATGAAAAATAGAAGAATTCTAGTTGAATGTAAAAGTGGAAACACCTTTTTCTTGTTTCCTGTTTTTGGTTTTGGTTTAAAAAAAAACAGATAACTAAAAACAAAACACAATGCCAAGCAAGCCCTTTAGCGGTTTTGTTTTAAATTTGGCAAATATTTTTTTAATAATTACTCTTGCTGACGTAGACGGTACATAGGAAATTTTATTAAAATGTAGCGTATTTATGGAATTTTGTTCTCTTCTCACATTATCCATGAAAAATTGGAAATCAGATGACTGACATTAGCATAAATTCAATTTTCACACATTCGATTTCCCTTTTCCAAATTATTCTTCACATGAAACGGCATGACAGTGAAATACACACAAACACATTCAACCAGAATTCTTCTATTTTAGCGTCGAATTTTCCTGTGGGCGGCTCAGGAAGCTACACCTTGTCCAATACCCGAAATTTCTGAGATTTCGTGTCTGATTTTTCTAAGCAAAATTAAACCCACAGTTTCCAAATTTCTTCCTCTCAAATTAAATTGTAAATTAATATAAATATTTTGTTCGGTTTTCTGGCAATTTAGCGGTAATGCGGAGATTCGTAGCAGAGAGAACAAAACATCTCATCAGGAAAAACTTTTTAAGTTCTTCTAATAATCACAGTTTTCTTTCATCTCAGTCTTCTTTCTTTTCTTCTTCTTCAAGTTCTTCAACAATTGTTGATCCTTCTTCAATGGAGTCTTCATCTGGAGTTACTCTTCAAACCATTAATCCTAAGGTTTGATTTTATAATCCCTCTTCTTTGATTTTGATGATTTAATTGATTGATTTGGCATCTGGGTTTTGTTATTTGATTCATTTGCGTTAATGGGTGTTGCTGATTTTTTGTTTTTGAATCTGGTTTTATGTTTTGTCATTGTTTTAGCTTCATATTGTTGATGACTATGATGAGTGTAATGGGTTTTGTGTTTTTACCATCTGGGGTTTAATTTAATTTGTGGAAAATGATAGGGATCCTCACACTATGATTAGTTTTATATGGTGGGACCAATGTTAAATACTTAGTATATTGTTATTGTGCTGTTTGTATGATAGGATTATAAGGAAAAGATGAATTTGTGTTGTAATGAGACTTATGAGAGTATGATACACCTCCAAATCCATTGTAAATATCTTTGCCTTGTTCTGTTTGGGTGATTGAGACAAATGAGCTTGAAATGTGTTATGTGTATACTGTTTCATTAGGAGAATGTCTTTTTTGGTTGCTTTTAATCTATTGCTCTATACTGTATATTACTGGTCAAAGCTTTATTGTAATTGATTGAGTTGTTAACTTATGATGATGTATTGATCCTGCTAGGTCTTGAAATGTGGATATGCTGTTCGTGGAGCGATTGTTACCCAGGCGGAGGTAAGAAAAGAAATGAATTGATTATTGTCTTTGTTAAGAACTTAAGATGATTTTATACTGTTTTTGCTTGTTTTCAGCTTCAAATGCCATGTATAGCTCTCTGACCCTCTGGTTCACATTAGTGAAGTGTCGATATAAACAAAACTATTATTGTTTCAAAAGTATTGACAGTTTACAGTTACAATGTAAAATATGACCATTTACTTCTGTGTATGATATTCTAATTGAATTCTAAACATGAGGGTTAATTAGTAATGTTAGATTCCAATAATTCTCTTAATGTATGTTCTATAGCTTTGAACAACTCTTGTTCTGAAAAAAGGGGGATTATGATCAACTGAAATGAATAAGAGTACTGCTTTACGGGTCGGTGTGTCTTCTGCAATACAATTTCTTTTCTGATAGTGCTGTTATATTTCTTCTCGCAGAAATTGAATGAACAATTGAAGAAGGAACCTGGGACTCTCCCTTTTGATGAGGTATATATGTTACCCTCTCCTCCTTCAAAAATAAAGATTTGACGAAACTTACAGAACATTAATATCAGCAAATGTCTGATGCATGTAACTATATAAGACTAACAAAATTTGCCACTAGGGTTTATTAGCTATGTTGTGCTTATGCAAATCATTTTCACCTCCGATCTTTTCAATGCCACCTGTGTTATAGATCAGCACTTAAATGAAATGCAGACCATTTTTATGACTAAGAAGCATGTCATTGTGCTGACTCGTCTATCTAATCCACCTTCTATGATAAAAAGTTTGAATACCACATTTCTGTCATATAGAAGCTCACAATAATGTATATCTTGTCTCAAGATTATAGCCTCAAGTCCTCAACATTTTTTTATTTGTGCAGATACTTTTCTGTAATATAGGAAATCCTCAATCTCTTGGGCAGCAGCCGATCACATTTTTCCGAGAGGTTAGTCTTTAAGATTGGGAGTTTCACTAACTGTTGTATTAAGTATCATACTTAATGTTTATTTTGATTTGGATTAGGTCCTAGCATTGTGTGATCATCCAACCATTTTGGATAAAAGTGAAACACAAGGACTCTTCAGGTATTTTCTTCGTAGTCCATTTTTTTTCCTAGTTCAAAACTGTCGAGGCATATAATATGGAACATATGTCTCTTGATGCTTTTTTTTCCTTTTCTTTTTAAATAAAAATTGTACCTAAGCCAACTTTGCTTTTCTATAATGGATAGTTGCTGATATTAACAGACCAAAAGCTCAATTTTGCTGCCTCGCTTTAGACTTGTTGAGTTGTTGTGTTCAATTGATCAATACAATTATACAAGAGCATTGCAATTTAATTTGGGGCTTTATTATTTATATTTTCTTTGTTCCTTTCATTTAATGCAGTGCTGACTCAATAGAGAGAGCTTGGCAGATCCTGGATCAAATCCCTGGAAGAGCAACTGGTGCATACAGTCACAGTCAGGTGATTATTGGTTCATAGTTAAAGAAAAGTAAACCAAAGAGAGCAAGGATTGAATAACGGATGGAGGGAAATGTGCTAAAATTGTAGAATATTACTCTCCCCAATCAAATGGACCAATTGGTTGCTTGTAGTTTCTTGATTCGTAACCCTGTGCGCATCCGTGTCTTGCTTTTTTTCCTTACAAAAATACTTGCATTTCCTTTTGCTCATTCCATTTGCACAAATTGTCAATTTAACTCAATACAAGGAATTTTTTGTGCCTCATTGCCCTTAGGGGGAAAACAGTTTGGAAGTCCATAGATGAATAATGTTTTGCGTACCGTTCTGTAATGAATTTTTGTCTGGCTCGATCATGCAATAGGGTATTAAGGGATTGCGTGAAACGATTGCTGCTGGAATTGAAGCACGTGATGGTTTCCCAGCCAATCCAAATGACATTTTCTTGACTGATGGAGCAAGCCCTGGGGTAAGGTGCCTTTATTGAGTCATAGACTATGCTCAGACTTGTCTCTTCATGTTATATTAAATATAATGGTGAATTCCTTTTTTTTTTTTTTAACCCGATAGGTACATATGATGATGCAATTGTTACTGAGGTCAGAGCAAGATGGAATTCTTTGTCCCATTCCACAATATCCTTTGTACTCTGCTTCAATAGCTCTCCATGGTGGAACTTTGGTATGTTTACCTTAATGCTAGAAATATCCAGCAACTGAAGTCATTTTGAATGGTTTTTCTGTTTGGAAACTTCAGATAACTAACTACATTTTGCTATCTTTTATGATAATAATCAAAATCAATTATATGCCAGTCTCACAACTTTACAGCTGTCATATTGTTTGAATTTGTTTCACGGAAAGTAATCTTGTGCGGCATTAACAGGTTCCATACTATCTTGATGAAGCAACTGGATGGGGTTTGGAGATTTCGAACCTTAAGAGTCAATTAGAAACTGCCAGGTCAAAAGGTGTAACAGTTCGAGCCTTGGTTGTGATAAACCCTGGCAACCCAACTGGACAGGTGAATTGAATTCTTATTTTAAAAGATTTGACATTGACATATGTTTATCTTCCTCTAGTGGGTAAACTTAGGAGGACTATGTTAGAGCAAAGCTCGACAGTGTATGTAGAAAGAAAGTAGGAAGATTTCTTATATTATTTTGATATGTACAAGAGTACTTTATATAGGGGTGAGGGATGCCTTTTACATTATTGTGATGCAATGAAGAGTCAGAATTTTTGGCATTTCAACTACTCCTAATAACTCTAGTACATTCAAGTTTATTCACTGATTTCTTCACTAATTGCTGAACGCTAAAAGTCTCATTTACTAACACTCCTCCTTGAGACTTTTGGCCATCATACCAAGCTTGAGTCTGAGAAACTCAAATTTGCTTTTTTGTAAAGCCTTGGTCAAAATGTCAGCGAGCTGGAACTCAGTAGGACAATGAATCAGCTTCACTTCTTTCTCTTGCTCAGCTTCTCGAAGTGCATAATACTTAATCTTCATGTGCTTTGTCTTGCTGAAACAAACTGGATTTTTTGAAATAGTAATTGCTGATTTGTTGTCTACTAGAACTTCAGTAGCTTCTTCCTGTTTGTGTCTCAAGTCAGCAAGTATTTTCCTGAGCCACACAGCTTGATTAACAGTTGCCGATGCTGCAATGTACTCGGCTTCAGTTGTGGATTGAGCTAGTACTTCTTGCTTCTTCGAAATCCATGAAAACACTACAGATCCAAGTGAAAAAACATATCCCAGAGTACATTTCATGTCATCGTTTGAACCACCCCAGTCACTGTCTGAATATGCCAACAATTTGGAGTTTGCACTTGCGTTAAACATAACACCAAAATCTGAAGTTCCTCTTATATAACTGAGCACTCTTGGTTCACTCATGAACCTTGAAAGCAAACTTGCTGCGAACATCAGATTTGGCCTTGTGGCTCTTAGGTAAAGTAGACTTCCAACTAAGCTCCTGTACTGCCTAGTGTCAGCTTTCCTTTGACCATCATCTCTGGACAGCTTCTCATTCACTACAAGAGGTGTACTGAGTGGCTTGCAGTTTCGCATATGGAATTTCTTAAGAACATCATTTGCATATTTCCTTTGAGAGATGAAGATTCCATCTTCAGCTTGATGAACTTCCATCCCTAGGAAATAATTCATTAAGCCTAAGTCTGTCATTTCAAACTTCCTTTTCATCTCCTCCTTGAACGAGAGGATCATCTTTGAATTGTTTACCGTGACAAGATCATCAACATAGAGTGAAACAATGAGCAAATCATTTTCTCCTTGATTCTCACATAGAGAGTGTGCTTATTTTTACTTTTGTTGAACCCTTGTGCAAGTAGATATGAGTCAATCTTGCTATACCATGCTCGTGGCGCTTGTTTTAGCCCATAAAGAGCCTTTTTCAGCTTGCACACTTTTTCTTCTTGCCTTTCAATAGCAAATCTGGGAGGTTGTTTCCTCCTGTGTCAAGCCACCGGAGCAAATGTATCTCCATAATCAATTCCTGCTTGTTGGGAGTATCCTATGACGACCAATCTAGCCTTGAACTTGCTTATGGTCCCATCTTCAATTTGATTTTGTAGATCCACTTGATGCCAATCACTTTGCGATCACTTGGTCCATCAACCAACTTCCAAGTCTGATTTTTCTTGATCATATTGATTTCATTTTCCATTGCTTGCTGCCACCTTTTGTCTTCAAAAGCCTGTCATATGTCTGGGGCTCTTCAAACACCAAGGTAACATCTTTCACATTCCTCGTACAAATCCGAGAGAGACTTCTTACCTCTAGGACCCGTGGCATTATCATCATCACTAGTTTCGCCAGTACCATTTCCAGCTTGTATAGGAGTGGAAGGAGCTTCTTCGATATTCTCATCTCTAGGTTCATTATGCACTCCATTGTCAACTTGAAAAAAATTCTTCTCAACCTTCTCTTCTTCCCAATTCCAACTTGCATCTTCATCGAATTCAACATCTCGACTGATCATGATCTTTTTATTGCTAAGATTGAAAAGTCGATATCCTTTGGCTTATGAATCATAGCAAGGAAGATTCCTCTTTCGGCTTTTGCATCTAGTTTGCTTCTCTTTTGAGATGGAATATGAGCATAGCAAACTGATCCAAATACTCTGAAGTGTTTTGTTGTTGGCTTTCTTCCACTCCATGCTTCAATTGGAGTTTTGCCTTGAACCGCTTTTGTGAGCAGCCTGTTCAAGCAAGCAAATAAACAGATGTGCGAACTGCTTTTCCCCAGAATTTTTTTGGCAGATTTTTCTCACTTAACATACAGCGAGCCATCTCATCACGGTTCTATTCTTTCGTTCAGAAACTCCATTTTGCTGAGGTGTATAACCCACTGTAAGCTGATGTTCAATTCCCTCATCTTCACAGAGAAAGTATATTCCTTGCCTCAATTTGATCTGATTTTTTGTAGTTTACAGCACTTTGAGATTCTGCCATTGCTTTAAATTTTTTGAAAACACTGAAAAGTTCAGATTTTTCTCTCATGAATACACCCACGTCATGCAGGTGAAATCATCGATAAAAAGGATGAAATACTTGTTTTCACCTAGAGATAAAGTTCGATGAGGTCCACAAACATCAGTGTGAACATCTCCTTCGGGAAAGGCAACCTATGTTGCTTGCCAAATTGACAAGACTCACAAAGATCATTAGATACACAAATTGCAGGAAAATCTCTCACTAGATTTTTCTTGTGAAGTTCATTGAGAGCACGCATATTAAAGTGTCCATACCTCCTATGCCATAGCCATGTGTTGCTTGAGTTTGCTGCATTCACATTCTCTACCGGATAATCCCACTTCAATAGAAAGCTTTTGTTTTCCATCGGAACTTTTACAATCTCTTTCTTATTCGAGTCAATGATGGTGCAATGGTTATTCTCAAAGACAAGTGAATAACCATTGTTGTCCATCTGAGCAACACTAAGCAAACTCTCATTCAAATCTGGAACAAGACATCATTGATGTACTTCACACCTTTCTTGGTTTGAACACCAATTGTGCCTTCTAGTGGACTGTACAACAGCACCATTCCCCATACGAACTGGAACTTTGATGGAAGAGTCAAGCTTGCAAAATAAGCTTGAATTGTTTGTCATGTGGGATGTGCACCCACTATCAATCATCCATCTTTCCAGGCGCTCATCACTTGACGTGCATAAAACAAATAGTCTTCTGATTCATTGGAAGCACGAGCATTTGTGTTTGACGATTGTTGCTTCTGTTTGTGCCAACAATCCTTCTCCAAATGGCCTAGTTTTTTGCAATGGCTGCACTTCGGTTTCCCCTTATGATAGCAATCTTTTTCAAGATGATTTGTCTTATTGCATATACCACATGGATGGAATTTCCCTTTGGACTGTGGCTGCTCCTTGTCTTTTCTGTCAGATCGTGGGGCCCCTTGATTCTTCCGGTTATTGCCTTTGTTGAATGGAAATTTTTTATGAGACTTTGATAGAAAAGCAATCTCCGAGGGTGGGGTCATCCTTTGCAAATTTATGCTCATGGGCAAGCAGCGAACCCATTAGCTCCGTCACACTGAGTTTTGTGACGTCCTTAGATTCAACAATTATTGTGGACATTGTGTTGAACCTTCTGTCCAAAGATCCTAAGACCTTTTGCACTATTTTTGCATCCGAGATCTCTTCTCCATAAATCTTCATTTAGTTTACAACTTCCATGAATCTAGAAGTGTAACCTTTTATATCCTCATTCTCCTTCATCTTCATATTATCATATTGACTCCTCAAAGTATTGAGTCGAATATTTCTGATTTTTTCATTGCCATGAAACTCCTCCTTAAGAAGACTCCAAGCTTCTTTTGCCGATGAGGCTCTCATGATCTTGGGGAAGATTGTGTCAGAAACACAATTGATGATATGAGATAAGGCTCTAGCATCCTTCATCTCATCATCACTATCTTCTTTAATTGTGCTTCTGTGTACTGCACTCCTTGTTTTCGTACAAAACCAATTTCCACTATCTCCCACAAAGCACTTGCTTTTAGAAAAAGCTTCATTTTTATGCACCAATAATCATAACTCTCTCCTGTGAAAGTAGGAGGTGCTGGCATAGAAGTTGTGGAAGAGGTTGACGTTGAAGCCATACTTCAACTGCTCAGTTTCTTCTTCTTCCAATCTTCTGGTTTTTTTTTTTTTTTTTATTTTTTTTTTTTTTTATTTTTTTATTCAGGCCCTTTAGATCATAAGGCTCTTGATACCAATTGTTAGAGCAAAGTTGGACAGTGTATGTAGAAAGAAAGTAGGAAGATTTCTTATATTATTTTGACATATACAAGAGTACGTAGGGGTGAGGGATGCCTTCTACATTATTGTGATGCAATGAAGAGTCACAACTTTTGGCATTTCAACTACTCCTAATAACTCTAGTACATTCAAGTTTTTTTACTGATTTCTTCACTAATAGCTGAACACTAAAAGTCTCATTTACTAACAGACTACTTAATTGCTGGATCTTTGTGACATATTGAAAATTGCCTTCAGGTTCTTGCTGAGGAAAACCAGAAGCAAATTGTTGAATTTTGCAAGAAAGAAGGTCTTGTGCTTCTGGCAGATGAGGTGATATAGCTAATTATAGATATCTGTCATTATTTAGTCTATTTAGTCTATATAGATAGATGCTAGATGAATCTCATTTGAGTTTAATTTTCTAACCAATCAGCCATTGCTTGTGCTATGATGTCTTAAACAGGTTTACCAGGAAAATGTGTATGCTCCTGACAAAGAATTTTACTCATTCAAGAAGATTGCGCGTTCTATGGGACATGAGGAGAAGGATATTTCCTTGGTTTCTTTTCAGTCAGTTTCCAAAGGTGCCTTGCTCTTGTGCCTGTTGTGTAATATTGATAAGATTGATTGTGCTGTTTGTATTAAACTAGTTTGTCTCTCTTTCTATTGTGGCTCTAGGTTATTATGGAGAATGTGGGAAAAGAGGAGGTTACATGGAAGTTACAGGTTTCAGTGCAGATGTAAGGGAACAAATCTACAAAGTTGCTTCAGTCAATCTGTGCTCAAATATTACCGGTCAGATCCTCGCCAGTCTTGTCATGAGCCCACCTAAGGTAATTTATTTTCCTTCTGTTTTTGCTGTATCTATTCTTGTTTTTTGGTTTCGATTGGTAATTAATAATACTCATTCCTTGTCTCTGTGTTTATTTTCCTTTCGCTTGGTGTGTGGGTGGGGTGGAAGGGGGAGGGGGTGATGGCCGGATAATAGGTCGCTATCTACTATCCTAGATCAAATCATACAATTTATATACCTACATTTCCACTACCTAGATAGTGATAAGCAAGGGTTGAACCACAAAGAAAACGGGAGAAATGCACGATTAAGGTGAAATCAAGAATCTATTGCAAGGTAAAGAGGGGTATTTTGAATTTTTGTTCTTCTAAAGGAATTAAAGCTACCACAATTAATAAAAGCAACCAAATGAAATGAAGTCAAACTAAATGAACTAAAATGAAGTTGAAACACTAGATTAAAGAAATATGATCAAATCACTATGGAGAGGGGGTTCCAATCATGATCAACCAAGGAAACAATGAAGATTAACATGGATAAATGCTAAGGAATATTAATTCTACCCAAATAATTCATTCCCATGCAATTATTCAAGCAAGATGATGAAGTGGATCAACACTAAACTAGATCATTCCCATGCATCCAATTTAGAAATCAAGTAAATGGAATTAGAGGTGCACATCAATAATTCCAAGCAATTTAAGCACAAAATCATCAACTCAAAGCAATATCCAATCAATCAACACCATTATCCAAGCTATTCATGATCTTCACCCCCTTCCCTAGCTAGAAATCTAAGGTAGAGGAGAAATTAGCCATCAAAGCTACACTAAGCATAAACTCAATCTTAACCAAACAAAACACGATTCAAAATCAAAGTAAATCAATCAAACAAGTAAAATCAAGGAAATAGATGAAGATCAACAAAATCAAAAGCAATCAAACAAAATATAAAGGAAGAAGTTAAGAGATTACTAATATGAAGCTTGATTGATGAAGAAAACATGAAATACTTGCATTAGATAGAAGGAAAACTTGAAGAAATCTTGATTATAATGATGAAACTTGATGATTAAGCCACTTTCTCTCTCTAAAATCTCTATTGTTTCTCTCACCACAAAGTTCTAGTAATAATTGGAAACATTAGATAATTCACAAATTCAAGAAAAAGTCTATTTATAGTGCTTAAGAAATCCGGAAATGACGAACTAAGCCACGCCATCTCTAGCTGCATCGCGCCCTCTTTCATCAGGGTACGGAAAGGAGACCTCAAGGATCGCACCCGCGGCCTGGAACGCCGCGCCCGCGGTGGCTGATGGAGAGGCCTAAGGAGAGGCTGCGGCGCTACAATAGGGGAAGTCAAGTCATCAAGTGGCCGCGCCCGCGACTCCAGACGCCGCCCCCACGGTGGTCAGTGGAGAGCTCTCTCCCAGGGCGCGGGCAGCCATCTACAGGTTCAAATGGGAACTTCCAAAATCAGTTCTCCGCGCATGCAGCTCATACACCTGCGCCCGCGGCTTGCTGGAAAGTTGCGCGCCCTCTCCAAGCTGCCATCTCTCCCTCTCCTTGGCTAACATAGCTTGTCTTCTTTCTTCTAAAAGCACTAAAAACCTACATAAGAAAAGACAAAAATGCTAGAAAACACAAGAAGAGATAAAAAAAGAAGAAAAACACGAAAGGAAGCAAATATAACCAAAATAAGAGTAAAAATGACTAGAGAAGGCACAAACAAGTGACAAATGGGGGTAAATCCTCCCTAAAGAGAGGTGAAATAGTGGCATAAATGCCACTCATGTGGGGGGGGGGGGGGGGGGGGGGGGGGGGGGGGGGGGGGAGTATATACAAGCTACGCTACTAGTATATATATTAATTACTACTATTTTGGTGACATTTGAAGGGCTGTAATGCTAACATTATGCTTAGCTTTGAAACTGATGTTAGTACTTGTATCTTTTAGTGCATTCTTCTTGGTTTCTAGAAACACTTTTCATGCCAATATGTAACTTGTACAAGGATGTACATCTTTTCTTTCATATACTAATATATGTGCATTCCATGTGATCTAGGTTGGAGATGAATCTTATGTAGCCTATGCTGCCGAGAAAGAGGGAATCCTTTCATCCTTGGCCAGGCGTGCGAAGGTAATTCAGATTCTTACTTTTACAAATACTGGTCATTGTATTTTTCATAAACTCAAGTTTTATTTTTCCAACAGACACTTGAGGATGCATTCAACAGCTTAGAAGGCGTGACGTGCAACAAAGCGGAGGGAGCCATGTACCTATTCCCTCGCCTTCAGCTTCCCGAGAAAGCGATAAAGGCAGCTGAAGCAGAGCACATTGCCGCTGATGCATACTATGCTCGTCGCCTGCTGGAAGAGACTGGCATTGTTGTTGTTCCAGGATCTGGATTTGGACAGGTTAGTTAATGAACAAGCATTTAAGGTTTGTTCTACTATTGTTGGAAACTTTGAATTACCGAACAATGTCATGTAATCTGGCCGAGGTTAGACAAGTCATAACAAATGCAATGTGGTAACTTTTGAAAAAAATAAAATTATAAACCATTGTAGTTGTTTTCTGAAAATTGGAATGACTTGGTGGTAAAAAAAATATAACTTGGAGATAATTCTTTGAAAGATGGCTTAATTCTGTTCCCTGTTTATTTTATTTCTGTTTATGGGTTATGGCTGAGAGGTTGACCTTGTATTGTGCTTTGTTTTGAAGGTCCCAGGCACTTGGCATATCAGGTGCACAATTCTTCCTCAGGAGGATAAAATTCCAGCCATTGTTGAGCGTTTAACTGCATTCCACAAGAAGTTCATGGATGAGTACCGTGATTGAGAACATCTAACAAACACGTTCTGTTAGTCATTCCTGACTCAAAAGTTTGGTGAACTCACATGGATGTAGTTTTATGTACCATTGTTTTGGGAACTATAGTCAGTTTGATTTTACTCTCACACAAAAATTCTGCATTTGTGCAGTCAAAGCTTTTTTTAGGTTTCCTTAGCAACATTTAGCATCATGGTTAGCTATCAGGATAAAAAAGAGCATCATGCTCGAATAAACTTTGTTGGGGAAGGCAAAATATGAGCATTATCAGCAAAAGTTTCCTTGATTAATTCGTGTTATCTTGCTGCCCTAATTCTTTCATTCGTTCTTTTTTTTTTATAACAGTACTGATGTGCTCAGCAGGATGACAAGGTCGGTGAAGGAGAACCTCTGCTCTTAATCCTGATTTGGGTATTAAGGCTTGAACACTCGACTTTGAGGTTTGATGTATATCACTGCGAATACCTCCATTATTGTCTAAAAACAGTGCTATTGAGGACTGAATTGGCTTGCAGCAGCACTGGTGCTGCAGCCTGCTGGACATCAAATAGGCTTTCAAGATTAAACTTTACATTCATCAGTTCTTCAGAAACAATTTGCAATGGCCTCAAAGTTTAAATCTCGGGTGGGAAACTCTCATTGCTTCATTGCTTCGTTATTACGACTTAATTCTAAACAATTACTTTGTATATTGGAGGAAATGTTTCTTTTCTTATACGAACTTATGAAGTACATCGTATCACATATTTATTTTATTGCAGTAATAATAATGATTAATAATGGTTAAAATTCATGTAATTTGACCACAAAGTAAAATGCGGCCTTTAGCTTAGGGATGGAGATAGTAATTTTTAAGGCAATAATTGGCTCTCATACATTTTCTTGTTTGAGCTCTAAGATATGACACAACACAAGGCTCAGGTGTTATCTTTGAATGGGCCCCATGCTCCTAAATCAAATTGGTAGAAAACTTTTCTCAAAAATGGTATGGATTTGCATGTACCTACATAGCTATATAAATTCGAAAAACTTGGCCTATTCATCCATTTAAAGGATTTCATAACTTTGGGATTGTGATCGGATGAAACCAATTAGGATGCTCTTTGGGGATTGAGATCTGTTATCCTTTCTTTCCTCCTCCCTCAACTTGGATCAGGTTAACCTACGCATATTATCCCTTCGGTAAAATCTTCTCCTTACCTATTAAAAAAAAAACCTACGGAGTATTATTAGGTAGTTAGAAACAAGAAAAAAAGTTAATGCGTTGTAGTTAGGCAGCTAACATGAGACAAGTTATCGGTTGTGCTGATACTTAACTTATAATTAGGCGTTATAATTATGCACATGAGTTCTACCATCTACATAGAAGACAACAAGAATAGGAGGATTCTAGCAATCTAGTAGCTCTCCACTTCTCCAAATCTCCAATGTTATGATTCCTTGGTAAAAAGTCTAAACAAGCCAACCTAAATAGAGAAATTATAAAGAAAGCAAGTAATTACATAAACATGATGATTTTCCTTTATTAGCTTTTATGTATGTATCCTCTTTAGTCTTTACAGTTTACTATCTCTAGGTCTTTTCAATGTGGAAATCAAATCAATGTCAGTGTGTTTTGGACGCATTATTTTGTTTTGGTTTGGGTTCCCTGCTTATGTTTCTTGCCTATGCAACATAAATCTTACACCACCTGACCTATGAAATCCCTTTCTTTCTTTCTTGTGCAATTTACCTTATAATTTATTTTCTCCTGACTTTATTTACTTCCACCTTATCATGTTTGTCAATGCAACTTTACTATCAATATCTTCGATTACTATGTACAATACTTGTACAAGATGAGATTACAATAACAATATCCCGTTATGATTAATTGATTTTGTTTTTTCCCGTGTATAAATGTATAAGATAAAAAGGTAAGAAAATCATGTATGAATAATATATAAGTCAAATTAGATGAAGTTACGGAGTAAAAAAAACAGATGAAGTATAAGGCCCTAAGGGGTTGTTTGCATATTGTCTCGTTATAACAACAAAAGGTTCATGAAATAATGACCTCTTGTTCTAAAAGATTTGAGATTTATTTGGGGTGAATTCTGTTAGTAAATTAGCTCTTGAATCTTGTACTACTTTCACTTTGCTTGTTACATCGCTTTCTTATTTCTCTTTTCATTCACATTGCAATTCCCAATGTTCACAATAACCTCTGTGCAACGATGTAGTCTATGCCTTTATAGCACATCATGTCTATAGTCTATGCCTACAATTATTGATATTGGAGTATATACTTGTTCTTATCTTGAGTAATTAAGTGGATGTAACTTGGTAAGATACGATATTCATCTAATATATACGAGTAAATGTCAATGAGTTTAGTTAGTTACGAGTAAATGTCAATTAGTTTAGTTAGTTACGAGTAAGATGTTGTGAAGGAATGAAAATCTCTTTATATTCTTCTTTCACTTTTAAAATCACAAAGTATCTTTTTGTGAACTGCTAAACAACGCTCCTATTTTAAAAGGCATCGCTGCCATTTTGACATGGAAGTATGATACTGCTCTTTGTGTAAGTTGTACTATATAATGGTCCATTATAGGATATGTTTGCATTATAATATCATTCCGACCCCTCCACTTACTACCACGTTGTTAAAAAAATTCCCGACCCCACCACATCCGGCCCCACTACATCCGACCCCACCACATTTGGTCCATCACCAAAAAATCCAAGTTTTTATTTTAAAAAAATTTTTATTAAGCTTTAGCTATGGGTTTAGGACGATGGATGATGACAACGTTCGTACACCGGAGGCATCGTCGGAGGATTCTGTAAGTCGTCGTACTATTTTTTTATTTTTTTTTTGAAAAAATACATCCGCCTAAAATTTCCGGAAACACCTAGGTGGATCCGCTTAAAGTTTCCGGAACCACCTAGGCAGATCCGGAAATTTAAGGCTGATCCGTACATCCGCCCAGAATTTCTGGATTTGCCTAGATGGTTTCGGAAACTTTAAACAGATCCACCTAGGTGGTTCTAGACATTTTAGGCGAATGTATTTTTAATTTTTTTTAGTTGATTAATTAATCAAATTTATTAATGTAATCTTTGTATTATTATTATAATTTTTATTGTGATTATTATTAATTTGTGATTAATTGAGTAATTAGTATTTTTATTGTTGTTGTGATCAATGTTGTAATTATTTGGATATTAATTATTGTTGGTTTTTTTTTTATTATTTGCTTATGTGATTAAGGTTTTAAATATATTACACTTATTATTAATATTATTATTTAACTTGTGATTAGTAATTCTATTAGTATTATTATTGTTTTATAAATATTGTTATTAATATTATAATAAAAGAAATAATATTGAATATTGTGTGCTTTATTTAATTTTCAAAGGATTTGGAGTCTGAAGACGGCGGTGATGGTGTGAATTATAGTGTCATGTCGTCACGAACACGTTATTTCCAACGTTTGATGATGCAATTAAATGGACGGATGTTGTTTCCATAAATCTAGGATTTATTTTGGTTAAATCGTCTTACAACAAAACCAAAGATGGTCGGCCGTAACGATATTTGAAAATGTGATCGGGGACGGAAGAGCAAACCGAGAGATTTGGAGAACGCGATACGGAAGGACACAAAAACCAAAGCTAATGCTTGTCCTTTCTACATCAAGATATATTATGAATTCACCACAGACAGTTGGAAGATCCGTGCAAAAAATGATAAAACTGGGACCCATAACCATCCAATGATTATGTATCAGGAGGGTTATCGTAAAATCAGTGGCTTGAGCCCGGGTGCAAAAAAGGTTGTGTGTGACATGACAAAGTTCAAGGTTGCACCGCGTAACATCATGGCAACTATTGCAGAGCAATTTCTATAAGATCATCCAAACATCAGACACATTTACAACTGCCGGAATGACTTCAGAGAACGGAGATGTCCGAAGGCAGAAGAGTTGTTCAGCAATTTCTTCATTTGTCAAGACAGAGTTTGTATATTTACTGGGTCATGGCCGATGAACTCGATGTTCTACAACATGCATTTATGGTGCACCCAATCACGGTAAACATACTACGCACATATCCACATGTAATCGGTATGGATTCCACTTACAAGACCAATCGATACGGGGTGTCGTTCTTTGAGATAGTAGGTGTAACACCGACAAATCAGAATTTCCTCGTTGGTTATGTGTTCATGCGCAACGATTGCACGGCAAGCTATCAGTGGGTTTTGCAGAGATTAAGAGAGTTGATTGGGTATGATAAAGAACCATCGGTATTTTTGTCTGACCGTGAACTTGGCCTCTGTGCGGCATTGAGAGAAGTGTTTCCAGGGACGTCGCATTTACTTTGTCGATGGCACATTAACAAAGATGTGGAGGCTAGGGTGACTGATATGTTAAAAAAAAAAAGAAGATTGGTGCGAGTTTTAAAAATGGAAAATGGAAACGTATCATGGATGCTACAATCGAGGCGGATTATAATGTTGATGTAGATATAATGAAAGCTAGGTGGGCAAGTTATCCGGCAGTGATTACTTACGTTGAGAGAACATGGCTTTGTCATAAAATCAAATTTGTGACATTTTGAACGAACCAAGTTCTTCACTTTGGTAAAACGAGTAATTGTAGAGTTGAGAGCCAACATTCGGAAGTGAAGACGTGGTTTGAATCATCGATAGGTTCGTTGTTATAATGTTGTAGTTGTTGTCTTTACTTCTTTTTAGTAATTTTAATAAAAATCATAATGTTTTTTATAATCTGAATCAACGGCAGGTTCTTTGGATACCGTATGGGCCCGAGTACATTGTCATATTGGTAATCAGATCATTGAAATTTGTAATGGTTTGGAGGCATCAAGATCGAAAATTGGTGAGAAGTACAGACAATTACCACTGTCACGTATAAATGGAAAAGTGTCTCAACATTGTTTGAAAATTCTGGATGATGAGACGACAAGGATGAGGGAGTTGAGTTACCAGGTGTATGAGCATTGTGGATGTGCAATGCGTGTGACCCATGGTTTACCATGTGCTTTCCAGATACATGATTCGCTAGTTGCACAGTCAGGCTTGTATATCAGGCAAATTCATCCATTCTGGAAGACCTTGGTTATTGGTGATGGTGTTGATATACCCGTGTTCGTTGACGATTCAACAGAGGAAGCTGCACATTTTCGTTCCCTGGTTGATGAGGTCATTGGTAGTGATCCTGCTATACTTCGAAATGTATCTCGCATCATTGAAGAGGAGTTGCATCCACATCATACAAACCTTGAAGAACCACATGTAAACCACAATGTTCGAGGTCGACGAAGGAATAATGATACCAAGCGTGATCCCTATAATTTCGAGCATGTAAACCGTCGAAATAGTCAACGTGGTACACAACAAACAGGTACGACCTCAGGTAAGTCATAAAATTAAACTTATTACGCCTATTGTGAATTACACGTATTTCATCTTGTAGCGTACTAATAAATGACCATTTATTTTGTGCAAAAGATCAATGTGACATCAGCCAATGTAGTATTTGCACTTGCTTCCAGGACCGATAGTGCCTTACATCACGGCATGGAAGGATGTCATTGGTAATGGAAACTGTGGCTTTCGTTGTGTGGCTGACTTCTTCTTTGGTGATCAAGCACAATGGTTTACCGCTCGGGAAACAATAGCAAACGAGGTCGCCGCTTATCCAATGTTGTACGAAAGGATTTACGGGATTGGAAGAGTTGGGTTGAATATAGAACGTATTCGATGGGATGGTGGGGCGGTTGATATGCGACGTTGGATGTAGCAGTTCAGGATTTATTTCCTATTGCTACTTGGTTCAACGCAAGGGTGATTTGTCTCAGTATAGGGAACGTACCAACCTGCTACTACCCATGCATCATGGTGTTACCGTTGTGGGCACGAAGCACGGTCAGGGCACCCACTCGAGAGTTCGTGATCGCTAAAGTTGGTGGGTCACATTTCATCCGTCTTGATCTTGCACATGATTCACCTCTTCCCCCAATTGCAGGTTGGTGGACCGAGCACCACGAGCCAAGTGTTGATGGATGGGATCAGCAATATGAAGTTAGAAGGAACATGTGGGATGCATTAATTAGGCAATGAACTTATTTATGTACTTTTACTAAGGTTGAACAGTTGTAGCTATGTAATAAAGATTAATAAAAGTAATTATTAAACTAAGATCCAACAAAACCAAATATAAAAGTGTCCAGTTCTTACATTATATGCCGAATAAAGAGTACTGTAAAATAATTAAGACAAGTACTAAAAATGCAACCACTAATCCGAATAAAGAGTAATCTACAACCCCATCATCGCGTTCCAATCAACTACCAGCTGCTCAGTCATTGCCCTTAAGTCACGCGACATGTTGGGATACTCAGCAAGAGCTCTTTGGTGAATCTCCATGGATCGACTCATCCACTGAAAATAAGAAAACAACATATTATAGACATAACAATTATTGAAAGTCAGATTAATAGAATAATTAAACAAAACTACTAACATAATCCGTGTTAGTCCTCTCAGGTAGACCGTAGGAGCTCCCAGCTGCTGAACCCCAGGTGATACACGAGGGTGAGAAAATCTATGCAGCCACTGCATGTAACCAGGAGCGATCGTATGAGCTCAACGACCAAGTTTGGTGTGGGTACCTAAAACTACACTGAAAGATGAACCAGGGACAAACCTAGTCCACATCACAGATGTAATCTCGGTCGAAATTCTACCCAGTACATCTTCAAGTTGGTCGGTCTCTTGGCCTTCTCAGGCCTGATAATGCTCCTTGGAATGTCCAGCACGAATCCAAGTTGTCGAACCACTCGATCAGGCATGTACGGCTCAATGATGCTACGGTACTGGATGCAGCCAATAAATAAAGTGGTAGGCACGTGTCGTGCAGGATCAACTCCGTACGGGAGCCAGTTAACCTCACGGTCAGTCAGCTCATCCGGTCTACTATGAAAATCTAAGAGGCGCTCCATGCTCTTGTTAGGGCATCCCGATCCAACATCCTAAGTAGACGCACGAGGGATATTAAACTCCCTCGTCAAGGTACCCTGCTGAGGCCGAAAGCACGGAAAGTACTTGTAAATCCACGCTTGCAGAAGAGTGAGACAGCCAGCAATCGAATCAGTACCATTTCGTGATGTCGTACCCAATTGCCGATACAGGTAGGCTAGAGTAGCTAAACCCCAAGAGTACTCATTAATCGGAAGACCTTCAACAACAAGCTCGTGGAGGAAGGAAGGATGAGTGCGGTTACCACTCTTGTCTAAAAACAGCGATCCTCCTAGTACTAACCACATGTATGCAATACAATGGACACTAAAGGGCCTCTGCGCCTCCAAAGTCCTACCAAAAATCCTCTCAGTCAGCACCCCACTACCCTGCCAAATGGTTTTAGTACCGCACTTCTCATTCAACTTATCTGCAGTCATATCCATGGTAACCGAGCACGCGTCCCGTACGGCGTCCGTGCTAGGGGTAGTGGAAACCATGGAACCATCAACACGAAGCCTAAGAATATGGTACACATCGTGCAGCATGATCGTGATCTCCCCAAATGGCATATGAAATGTGTTCGTATCTGGCTGCCATCTCTCAACAAAAGCAGAAATCAACGGCCAGTCGAGACGCTTAAACATAATCTCGGGTAAGTGAGACAGACCACTTCCATCAATCAATTCGAGGTGCTCCTGTGCAAGATGACCTCGCCAATTAACCAATTTAGAACACAACTGTGTTCTACTCAAACAGCGCAAAACATTTCGCTCCTTCCCGCCCCATATATATGACGCCACTTGACCACCAAACCTAGGGATAACAGTCCCATCCTCAGGACCATCTGGCATCGGCTGCTGCACTAACCATGTCTTTGCTGAGCTGGTAGTAGGTTGACTCGCTTGACTACTAATAAATCTCCCATACTGACCCCTATATACTGTATGATAATCTTGAGGGTCCGAGTCTTCGTCCCGATCATCATGACTTGCCGGCTCTTCGACAGTCCACCCGACGAGTACATTGGGCGGTTCCCTTGTGACTGATGCTCTCCCGACCAACTACTAGGAGACCCATATTGCTGCTCATGACGAAGCGGTGCCCTCGTAATTAACCTAAACGACATGACTCCCTCTTAACAGACGCATTCAAACGTCGTGATATTGCATGACGAGCACCCGAACCCTCAATCTACATTAAATAAGAACAAAATCAAATCTCAGTAATAATTACAAATATAATTATTTGATTAAAGTTGAACAGCCGATATTAATATTCAAAAAAAATTATTTCAGAATAACACCACCACCAACAACATTATTAATAATAATAAGGACGATAATAATAATAATAATAATAATAATAATAATAATAATAATAATAATAATAATAATAATAATAATAATAATAATAATAATAATAATAATAATATTATTATTATTATTATTATTATTATTATTATTATTATTATTATTATTATAAACCACATATTTCGCAACAACAACAACAATCCTGTCCCACAAAAAAAAAAAAAAAATCAACAACAACAACAATAATAATAATAATATAATAATAATAATAATAATAATAATAATAATAATAATAATAATAATAATCACTTTTTTTTTTAAAAAAAAAAGCTCACAGGATTTCCGCCTAAAATATCCGGATGAACCAAGGAGGATCTGGATATTTCAGGCGGATCCACCTCGAACATTCGGAAATTTAAGGCGGATGGGTAGATCCGCCTAAAAATTTCGGATCCAGCTTGGTTTGTCCGGAATTTTCAGGCGGATTCCAGCTTTAATTTTTTTTTTTTTTGCGATTTTCAAGGGGAACATCGATCGTACCTACTCGCCTCCGGTGCCACCGCCTCGACCTCCGTAGGTCACCTGGATTCGCCGTGAGTCTGCCATCGCCGAACTTCTGCCCAGATTTCTGCTCGCCTCCCTGGTGGCTGTCGATGGTGGGTTAAGGTTTTTTTTTTATTTTTTTATGAGAGAGTTGTGATTTCACAAATGAGTGTCGTGAGTATTTATTTACGAGGGGTAAATATGGAAATTCATATTAAAAATGCGAGCAGTGCCTAGTAAAATAGGAGTGTTGTTTAACAACCCCTTGTTTTTTCGGGAGTATGATGCATGCATGCGCCTTGAGTATGATCTCTTAAATTTATCAATTTCTCACATTTTTTTTCTTTCCATGCAGATTACTCCTTAAATTAAATTGTTCCAAAGAACATTGTTCTTTTGATTCCATGACATCTGAAACGGTGACGTACTCTATCAGCTGATTTTCAGGCTAACAAAGTCTGTAATACTGATGTAACTTTGACTATTATATTATCCCAAAATTTTAATATCAGGCTCCTAAAGTAGTAGGTTCTCACGGATCCCCCAAACAGTTGCTAGAAGCTAGGAATTGGTAAGAATCATGTTGTGAGTTTTTGAACCTGATATTACGTAAAAACGATTTGTGACAATTACTAATTTTATTCCGGTCTGATTTCCTAGAACAATAGTTATACTTACTATTTTTGCTAATACTGTCAAGGTTAAGTATTGGCGCATAGCTGAGCTATAAGACAAAAGAGTGGTGATTTTCTTTTTATTTATTTATTTTTTTTCCTAGTGGTACAAATATTGTACCACTGTTACCTATAATGGCTATAAATAGTACTACTAAAACAACTTATACTCTAGTAGTATAAAATACATATATAATAGTACATTAAATATACCACTGTAAGTATAATAGTACATTAAAAATACCATTGTATCAATAAAAAATCACAAAAATTAAGTGAATTTACCGGTTAACCTCCTATATGAATCATAAACAAATAGCAGTTATGCGCCTAGTTGCACTAAATTGTCAAATACAAATATCCTATGATTAACTACTCCGCACTAGCTTGATGTGCTACTTTTATACGTATCCGTAGTAAATTAAATTTATGGATACTAAAATTCTTTGGTATATGGTCTAGATTTTCGCAAATCGCAATAATGTACCTAAATGTGACAATTATTAATTGTTGGGAAACCAAGTCAAGCTTGGTAAAATTGGTAAGAAATTTATCTTTTAACCTTATTACGTTGTTAAAGTCCTCACCAAAAAAAAAAAGAGATTATAGTAGGGAAAGACATTTAGACATATACGGAGTAGTAATAATGTAAGTATACTAAAAAATTTCATTTTTTTTTTATGAATGTTGGTCATTATTATATAATGACTACTAATTAGAAGTACAAGGGAAGCAGCCACATGATACAATGTGTGGAGAGAGATGGGAATTATGGTGGTGGTGGCTCAATATCAGCTTCTGGGCTCGTTCACTGGCTTTCCTTGTTTGCTCAGAGTGCTCAAGCTGGGCAGCTACTCTCCATTCCTCGGCTTTTCGATGAACTATTGCCCTTCTTCTCATCAATTTCTCTTCTAAATCTGACCTCATCTTCTGTATTTTCACCTGTTTATTTGTTGCCATTCAAACATGTTTCATGAATATAAAGTAGACAATTAAGGAGTAAAAGCAGATTTAATACCATGCATAAGCTAAGAGAGGGAATATTAATTTACTAATGTGTTGTAATATGTTTTGAGATATGACTATTGACTAGAAAACAATCAATAGGGTTTTGGCCAGATAATTCATAGTAGTCGTGATAGCGAGCCAAAGAGCTCAAGTTTGGGGTAGCTCAGCTCGGCTCTAAGCAACCTAGACTTGTACTCAAACTTGTTGAGCTCAAAAACATAAAGCTAAGCTCAACTTGAGCTCAA